CCTTCTCATGTACAGGGGCCAAAATGCAATATTTATTCATACATAGGGTTAAAATCGAAATTTCCTCATCATCGGGATGTTACATAGGTGATGATGAGCCGTACAACTATGAGGAAGCCATGGTGATCCCAGAGGATGCAAAATGGAAAGAGGCGATGGACAACGAGATTCGGTCCATGTACGATAACCATGTATGGAATTTGGTTGATCTTACACCTGGAATTAAAACCATTAGGTGTAGATGGGTCTTCAAGAAGAAGACTGGCATGGATGGGAATGTACAGACTTATAAAGCTCAAGTAGTTGCAAAAGGTTATACTTAGACTCAAGGAGTTGATTATGAGGAAACTTTCTCACCACTAGCCATGATTAAGTCTACTAGGATACTTCTTGCCATAGTTGCCTTTCATGACTATGAAATATGTCAAATTGATATAAAAACTGCTTTCCTTAATGGGAAACTGACTGAGGATGTTTACATGGCTCAGCCAGAAGTTATTGTATAGTACAAGTCTCCTAATATGGTATGTAAGCTTGAAAAGTCTATTGATGGAGTCTCTAACACCTTGTCTTCCAGGTATTCCTTTTATACCCTTGTTATAAGAATTTTTGGCAGAATGGGTCCCTAGTAGCGTTTGAAGAAAAACGCATATCCAGTAGAACGTTAAGTGCTCGTTGAGTACGACATGCGTTGGGGACGCTATGTGTCCATCTTGGACGCCATGCGTTCTCGTCCTGGACTCAAAACCCTAATTTTTAGGGTTTGGACCTTATTTAAGCATCATTATAACCCCATGCCCTTCTTTAACTCCAGCCTCCATTCCTCCTTGACCTCATTTTGAAACCCTAAAGTGTGTGAGTGTATTTTGAAGCTTGGAGAATCATTTTGGTGAGATTTTTGTACTCTTGGTGGTGAAGGAAGAACCTAGAAGTTGTGGTGTTTCACTCAAGGCCTTGGATCCAGCATCTACACTCCCTTGTGCATCTTCTGGAGGTATAAAGCTCCAACCTTGATGAGTATTTCATTTAGATCTAGTTTAGCTTAAAGTTGGCACCTTTTTGTCCCAAATCTTAATCCTTGTGAGTATGGAATACTCAATGACCTTTGAGTCATCCTTTCAAATGTTTTAAGGTGTGATAAGTCATAAAAATGAAGTCTTGGTCGTTAGTTTCCTTCCATGCATGAACTAGGATGTCTTATTGGGTTAAGAAGTGAGGGGTTTTGATATTAAGCACTTATTAGCCATGCAAGACCATAAAGTTGGAAACTTTATGGTTAAGGACGTTAGTTTAGGGCTAGATCTAGAATTTGAGCAAAAGAGCTTAAGGATTAATCGCTTAATGGAAGAAAATGGGAATAGTTGGAGAACACTATGCGTTCCCCAGAGAATGTCATGTGTCGAAGAACGTTATGCGTCCGTTCCGGACACTATGCGTTCTCAGTTGGGTTGACTTTTTGACTTTTGACTTTTGACTTTTTGACCAAGTTTGACCTAAGGGTATTTTGGGTATTTTGAATTATAGTTGAATATGGTCAATTGTCATTGAGTAGGTGTTCGGTTGAGCTGATCTCGGAGCAAAGTCTCGTTCAACTATTATTTCGTCTGTATGTAAGGTGAGTCTTCTTACCACCTTAAGTGGGTCGAAGGCACCAAAGCCGGTCCACTGTAGCGTATGAGTAGAATGTATGCTAATGTATGATTTTAACTGTTGTGATTGCATGATTTATGCATGGAGCTAATCTGGGCTCGAAGTCATTATGGACTCGGGGTTGATACGGACAGGGGGGTTGATACGGGTCTGACACAACTAATTGGTGTTATTTGGGACGTTACAAACTCAAACAAGCACCTTGTAGGTGGGACATCTGTTTCGATGAGAAGATCAAGGTTTTTCGTTAAGTGGATGAATATGTTATAATTTTTTTAAATTACTAAAAACTTTAGGAAATAGAAGGAAGTTATATACCTGTTTTGAACAAGTTTTATTACGTTGCGTTAACCTGTCTTCGATATCTGACGGAGATGATGATGATGATGATGAAGTGTGAAGATGATAAGGATAGTGGGTTAGAAAATTGTTGCGTGAAAGTGGGAAGATGATGTACGGTCGAGTTGGTGTTGAATCTCGTCTGATGAGATGGTGGTGTAATGGTGGGTTTTAGGGTTAGGGTGTGGTGGGGAAGACGATGACTCGAGAATGGAGTGGGCGGTTGGATTTCTTTTTGTTTTTTTTTTTCTAAGTAAAAATACGAAAACAAATAAAAGGAAATTAAAAAACTATTTTAGGAGCATATTGTTCATTTTAGGATGGGTATGAACCAAAACCACAAAAAAATGTCAACCATAGGGACCAACACCATACAAAGTATCCAAAATTAGACCACTAGTGCACCACCAAAGTTTTTTTGGACCAAAACCACTTATTTTTCACAGCCACACGAACCATTTTTTTCAATTTTGTCTAAAGTAATAAGTATTCAATAAAATTACATAAATAGTCCTTACAGTTTTCTAGATTTTTCATTTTCATCTCTCACTTTTTTTCGTTACACTAATGGTTTGTGTGGTTTCAAGTCATTGCATAATTAGTGACTTTTATACCCTTATTATGATCATTTATCTGTTTTTTTCTTTTTACAAAATTGCAGTTTGTTTTAATTTTTATATTATTATTAAACTAGAAATGACCATATCATACCCACCTTTTTTCCTCTTCCTACTTCCATCATCCATCACCACTACCTACACTGCACGATCACCACCGTGCACCACCTACGCCAGCTCCAATATGTTCTTGCTACTACTTCCAAAATATAATAAACATGTAACCTAAAATTGAACAAACAAAGAAACCCAAAACCTGAGGACATTATATAAAGTTGAAATCTGTAAATCCATCAACCAAAGAAAACTCAACCATAAGAACATGATCTAGGAAACAAAAATTGTTAAATGTGACTTGAGCATTTGGAGCATTCTCATGGAGCATTTGTGTCACACCCCCATTCGGTGGCAGAAACGTCAGGTGGTGGGACGACATCATGGATCACATTCATTTGCATACAGTGAACAAATATAACAATATAACAAAAAGTAGGAAACTTTTATTACTGAAGGGGAAATTACATAATCCCTAGTTTAGGGGTATACGGAAATATGAAAGTACAAAACAAGCCTCAACATTAGGCAAACTATGAAAGTACTATACTATACTAGGTAGACTACAATCCCATGATTATTCTGTGAGTATAACTTCTAACTTCTTAATTCCTCGAGAATACATGTGTATGAAAGAGTGTCAACGTAATGTTGGTGAGTTCACATGTATAAAGTGTCTGACTCAAATGTACCTTTAATAAAAAATTAGGTTCAACAAAATGTATATAAGTGGTTTCCCAGCTTATATAAAAATGAACTTAGTACACTGTCAACGTTTATTATGAGTCCCTATAACCGAGCTCCTGATTGTATGTTATACCCCTCCTAACGTTTCATTAGACACCGTAAATGATTTAGACAATTATCACCTGACGTGACTCGACTGTCAAGGTTGTAGCTAGCAACCACAGGTGGCGGTGTCGACCCATAGAGATCTGCAAATAACTCTCTCTCTTACTTAAGATTAGCGGTTATATGTCATGGGTCTTATAAGTATTGCACTTAGGTAATGAATGTCTCATGTAAACCATTGAGTGAAATGTTCTAAAAGTTGTAAGCCCTAACTTGTACAAATTTTCCAGGAATAAGTTCGACAACATAACTCTAGTGTATAAGTTTTGTATCATAAGTCGACAGTATAAATAAATACCAATTTGTATGTATAAGCATGCGTTTAAATAATAGTTAAATAGTAGTTTGACATGTATTCTCCCCCGAAAACTATAAAACGTTATAAAAAGGGGTAGTGAAACTCACTTTGGGGTTACCGTAACTTTAATATCAAATTAGACGCGAAATCCGGAAATTATCAGAAAATAGTTGGTCGGAGCTTCGTCTGCTGCATGAATAGTGTTCGTCGAAATTTGGCCGGAAAAACCCGTCAGTCGCACTGTCAGCGCTGGTTGTCGGCGTCATAGCTAATGGCTAGAGGCGGCTGTTGGTGTTAGACGTGCAGCCGAAGGTAGGACGGATTAGGGGGGCTGGTCGGAGTGGCATGGTGAGGTCCGGTGGGCTGTCATTGGCTTCCGGTGGCAGATGACGGCGACATTGCGGCCGAAGTTGAAGATGCTCAAAAGTTGAAGATGATTGTCCAAGGATGCTCAAAAGTTGAAGATGCTCAATAAATATAGCTCAATGTGCCACCATGATGGTTGATGCGCCATTAGCATTCATGATGCACCACTTGTTCATCATAATGCTCCACTATGACTCATGATGCTCTATCATGTGTATTGTTGATGCTCATATGATGTATCTCAAGGATAAAGATTCCAGAAGCTATTGCATGGTGATTGTGATTGGTTGACACCTTTCATGAGCCTATAAATTAATGGGGTTTGGTCCATTAGAGTTTTTTGGTCCATTAGAGTTTTAAGTCTAACCCTAATCTAGGATGTTTGTTAATCATTTGTTTGTCTTCAATTCTAAAGTGATAATCAAATCTATGTCAAAGTGTACTTGTAACATCTGTTTGAGAACTCATAAATAAAGAATATTCTCATCTTGCCCGTGGACGTAGGTCATTGACCGAACCACGTAAATATTATGTCTTGTATGTTTTTGATTTCGTGTTTAATCCGTTTTACTTCCTAACAAAAACAAAAACATGAAACTCAACAACATTAACAAAAAGAAACTATGTGATTGATTTCCTTCATCGTTAAAGCCTAGATGACACCAAATTAATTGCAATGAAAGGAGATCGATCTCTCAATGGTAATTTTCCCTTCATAGGCTCGCCGAAAAGAAGGTAAGAGATGACACCAAATCAATTGCAATGAAGGGGGTGTTCGGATTAGGATTTAACGAAGAAAAAGGAAAAGTGAGAGAACTAACATGAAAAGGCAACACACAGAATTCCAACATTATTATTAGGATTAGGATTTAGGATTACACTATCATTTCAAAATAAAACTACAGCAATAACATCAAGCTGCTCTTAACACGAGATTTAAATCATACATAATTAAAACTCAACAAACTCAACATCCGAAACTTTCACTTTCAAATCTCTCTACCAAAGAAAATTCCCAAACACTAAAACGCGGTAAAAAAAAGCCAATGTTACCAGCCTGCCATCTGCCCGAAATCCCTCTCATCAGTACCTCCTTGGAAACCGATCCATAAACCGCCCGGACGGGCACTCAAACGCCAGGTGTCCTCTTCCACCACAATTATGACAGATCATCAACGCCACACAATCACGGCTCATATGCCCAACCTGCTGGCAGTTCCGACACACAATGTCCCGGAAACCACCACCCGAACCCCTATCACCGCCGCCACGTGGGCCGCCACGCTCATCGCCACCCGTGCTGCCCTTCGGGCAGTCCCGAGCCACATGGCCTGCCACATTGCACGAGTTGCAAACCGGATCGTTGAGGCAGTCACGCGCCAGGTGGCCGGTTTTCCTACAGTTCTTACAGGCCTTGTCGTTTGTACAGTCAGCAGCGATGTGGCCTTGTTTGTAGCAGTTGTTGCAGAGTCTCATGTCGCCAGGTGGCATCTGAGGACCGGAGCATTCCCTCGCACGGTGGCCGGTTTTCCCGCACGTGTGGCAGATCCCCTCGTTCGGGCAGTTTCCGGCCATGTGCCCGGGCTCTCTACAGTTCCAACATAAGGATTTTGTGGTACACTCTGATGCAATATGCCTGTCAAAGTAAAGTCAAAATTAAAAAAGTCAACTTTTTTGATTTAATACAGAAACAGAAACAGTTTTAATCTTACCCTGGAAGTCCACAATTGTGACAAATGGCAACATTAGGGCATTCCCTAGCATAGTGTCCTGGTCTTTTGCAGTTCTTACACAGACTACTTTGGCTGAAAATTGGAGAAAAGTAAAAACTAGATTAATATTTAATAAATAGATAAAATTAGGTATTTTCATGATATGCATGTTGCTATATGAATTATGGGTATATGTAATGTAACAAAATAGAAAACATATCAACAAAAATCAAGAAAAATGTGGAGAATCAATCCTCCATCCTTGCCTCCGGGTCCCACACCAACATCCAACTTACATGTTTTTTTTTTTTTTTTTTTGGGAAAAAAGAAGAATTAAAAAAAATAGAAAATAAAAAAAACCTGTAACCACCCCGACGAGAATCCCTTCTGTAAGGAGCATCACGATAAGAGCTTCGATGGGTACGGATCTTGCGATCCATGGGGCTCCTGCTTCTGCTCCTGGATCGACTCCTGCTGTCTGAACTCATTTTTCTTTTTCTTTTTCTTTTTTTTTTAAATTAAAAAAACAACCAGAACCACCACCTCCACCACTGCTGCCGCCTCCACCCTGCCCATTGCAACCACACCCTCCATCAGACAAAATCCAATCATACTTCACTCAAACACCAATCCCAACTCTACACACAAACCACATATTTTCTGTTTTTTTTCATTTCTATTTTCAACAAGCACACCACCATGAATGAATCCACTTACATACCCAACACTCGCCACGTCATCATTAAGACACTGGCAAACATCAATCACATCAGAGAGGTAAATAACAATGTCCAAGTTTGAACCTGAGACTTCTCTTATGGATTTTCACCTCCTTTTATACAAGTTGTTCGATGCAAACTAGTTGGGGTAGGCTAAGAACAAAGGAAAAAGGAAATACAAAATAATGCAACCTAAAAAGGAAGCATAAAGAGGTCTTGTGTGACTTAAATGAATTAAACCTTACATACACTGAATTGCAACTAAAGATGAATCAATGAAAAAACTTGACTACAGTCATGTGTAAAAAACATACATCACAAAAGCTTAACTTTTGAGGTCCATGATGACCATATTTATTTCGATATGCATAAGATGGGGGTAAATTGGTATCTATTGAAGACTACTTTTTGCATAATTTGAGTGTTGCAAGTCAGAGAGATGGAGTAAGTACAAAAACCATAGCACAAGGGTCCTGGAAGTGGCAAATTGCTCCATGGCGTTATCATATATTCATTCCATGGACAAACGATGTGTTGCTAAATGGAACCAGACTTAAAATAATAGATCCTATCCAAACATCCTTTAACTCGCAAATTTCAAGGCGTAGATACGCATGTATCTTAAATTTCAGAGAAATTGAATGGACATATCAGTTTTTTTCCTGGATGAGTTTTATCGAATGACCTTTAGACTCCAGGGATAAACCAAACTAAAACGCAACAGATAATTCAAAATTCCTATAATCTCAAAATCACCAACGAAATATGCATCGAAGAGCACAAAAAAGAGGTTCTTTCGTTTCTCAATCAAGAACGCAACCGTTTTAGAAGCAACAAACGTATATATAAACCGAATCAAAAACTCGAAAATTTCAAAATCAAACCGAAAATTCAGATTTAGCTGCAAGGGAATTGAAGAGATCGAGGAAATACCTGACTGGAAGCTGTTCGATTCGGAGTTCGTTATGAGCGTAGGAAGAGAGAGTTCAACGAAATTTAGGGTTTTTTTTCTTCGGGACAAAGAGCCAGAAGCCAGAGGATGGTGCAATTATATCTATTTTATATTTTTATTATATGAATATAATAATTTTCGTGTAAAGACTTCTAAACTATATAAAATGGCATTTTACCCCCTTAAACTTTCGTTTTTCTTTTGTGAGACCACACCTCACAAAATGTTAGAACTTTTGAGGCCCATGATGAACACATTTACTTTTTTGTGCATGGGCCATTTACCAACAAACAAATTTAGAAATCATAGCCCTTGGGTTCGAAAGTGGCAAAATTCTTTTGTAGCATAGTTTTACATCAAAGGGATGATTTTAGAACAAGAGGCATTAGTCACAAACTATGTTAATTGTTGGAATGATATAAACATTTCATAATTGTTTACAAAAAGGGCATAATGACGTATCATGAAAAAAATGGAAAGTAGTACTATCACAAATACAAAAACAAAAGCAACCATGTATGTTAAGAAACAAAGAATTTAAGTGTACTAAAAGAGTTTGAAGATGATGAATATGATTAATTGTCTTCATACTTTTAGAGATATAGTGTGTGTGATTACATTGGCTTCTTATGTGTAGAGAATTATTGATTTTGAAGCACCTCAAGCTCAACATTATAGGGCCGGTGAAAGTGAAAATATGTGGTTGATGTTGCGGTCTCTAAATCCAATATATTGACAAACTCAAACATAATATGTTATAATGCATGAGATTCAAGAGATGCCTCAGAGTGTAAATGCTGAAGTTTTTAATTGATGGAATAGACCAACCAAAAGATGTTGTAGTTCATGAAATTCTTTAAAGTTAATATGATATTCTTGGTGTTGGTGTATATGTTATCGGGGAAAAAATTAAAACTTGGAATATTAATAATTGTGTATTATACAAAGAACGGATAAAAGTATATATATATAGCGCCTCCTTATGTCCATTTACAATTGGTAACAAAGTCGTTTTTTTTTTCATAGAAATTTTCGAATGTGAAAATCGATTTTTTTAAATATTATTGAATTTAATATTCAAACTTTTTGATAGCGTTTATATATGATCATTTGTACTTTGACTTCGCATCGCACTACTCAAGATTTTTAAAACCACAAAACTTTTATACCTTACTTAATAACCAAGAAATATTGAACTCAATAATATTTATAAAAACTTTTACCGTCTATATAATAAACCAAAAAATGGAAGAGCTTCTCTTCAACAATGGAACGAAATGAAAAATAGAAACCATCATCTTTGTACGGGTGAACTAACACCCTATTCCCGAGTTCAATTTAAGGAGAGAAAAGAAAGGAAGCGGGTGGAAGTGAGAGGAAAGTAAAAAAATTGGTGTTCCCGAGTTTCATTAAAGGAAGGAAGTGGAATGAAATGAAATGATCACTTTTCCTCCTAACTTTCCTTCCGATTTGGAAGGATTTGGAGAGAAAGAACAAAATGTTTAACTTTCCTTCCACTTCTCTCCAACTTGGGAACACAAAAGACAAATTTATTTACATTTCTTTTCTCTCCTTACTTTCTTTTCTCTTCTCTCTTTTTTTTGCTACAACTCAAGAACGGGGTGTAAAAGAATTTTCATTGTGGAATGATTGTGCTTCAAAAACATGTTTATTTAGGTGTTGTTTTTTTCGAAGCTAAAATGTATGTAGTCTGTGGACCACATCTACAACCCTTTGAAACAGAAGATGTGGACTAAACGTCTACAAACTGCAATAAGAAGTCTATTTTTTTTAAGGTTTGCAGGTTGCTGAAATTAACCATACAACAGTTAAAAATAATTCTAAATCAAAATTTGATTTGGTTTAATCATATGCAAATCGAATATAAATATCATTGTGATGATATGATTTTTAAATACGTTTATATAAAATAAGAGTAAATTACACAGATGGTCCCTATGCTTTGGGGTAATTTGCACGTTTGGTCCCTAACATATTTTTTTAACTCGGAAGGTCTCTACTGTTTGTTTTTGTTGCACTTTTGGTCCATGTCTTACCTAAAAATACTATTTTGCCCTTGATTTTTTAATTTATTTAAATAAGGTGGGGTAGGTAAGGTCAGATAAGGTGAGGTGAAAGTGGGGTTGGGAGTGTGTTTATTTAAATAAATTAAAAAATAAATGGCAAAATAATCTTTTTAGGTAAGACAGGGACCAAGCGCGCAACAAAAACAAACAGTAGGGACCTTCCGAGTTAAAAAAATAAGTTAGGGACCAAACGTGTAAATTACCCCAAACCATAGGGACCATTCGTGTAATTTATTCATAAAATAATTAACATAATAATTGCACAATAACAATAGATAAAATTGTTAATTTAGCGAACAACATGTTCATATTGTTAAATTTTCCAAAACGATGCTTTTTTCTTTGGATAGCTTCAATAGATTTGGTAATTTTAGTGACTAACTTATAATTTATTAATGTTTTGTTATAGATAAAGTAATGAAATTTGTCAAACAATTTTGAAATTATATAAAATATACTTGAATTGTTTATAATATCATTCATAATTTTATTAAAATAATAAACATGTTGAAAAAAAAATTAAAACAAATTTATGTTGAATAATATAACTTAAAATAAGGTGAGAAGTTGTTTGAGGATGAATGTCAGTATTGCGCCGCACAGCATACGCGCGACTGTTTTTAAGTCAGAATTTAACAACAACCAAAAAAAAAAAAAAAAAAATTGTTACGGAAAACCAAATGATGCGTATGTTCTGTACGGCTCAATCAGAAGTTGTAACAAACAACCCCTTAATTGTTTTTGTTCTTATTTTTTGTGTACCAAAACTCGATGGTAATCCGCACATAGATTTGTTGGTTATTTGGTATGTGTTAGGTCACACATTGCATACTAAAAGTTATTATAATTTGGTTTGAAAAATATTTTATGTTTTTTTAGTATTTATGTTAAAATATGCTGTCTTGATGCTTATAATTTTGTTGATAAAATATATCAAATGCATGCTAGTTTGTTTGTTAAAAATATGCTTTATTTTTATGATGAAAAGTTATGACATATTTGCATATTTATAACTTTTGTAGAGAAATAGGTTCCTATTTGTTTTAGAAGAATTAATGCGACTTTAATTTTGAAATAGGATAACATGCGTGGTTATCCAACTCAAGTCCAAGAGTGTTTGATAAATTTTTACCATCTCGATAATGGATTAAAAATTACATGTCAAAAGTGATTGTGTAATAACTTCTTTTTTTTTTTTTTTTTTTGTTAAAATTATGTGTTTATTGATTATATGTTAAAATGCAATTTGATGAATGGATTGTTATTTCATGCGAGTTATGTATTTTGATAATTTTTGTGAGGTTTAAGAAAGGAAAATGGAAGTGAGTGAAAATGTTTTGGTAATTATAAAGAGACCCCTACACTATACAAGAAAGATAAAATACATATAAATCTAACACTTCTCCTCAGTTTGAGCGGGAGGTTATTGTATACTTAAACTGTTTTGTAAATCTAAAAATAAAGGTGTAGGGAGGCCCTTGGTAAATAAATCAGCAAGCTAGTATGCAGATGGAACATGCAAAATGCGAACATGGTCAATGGCAACGCGTTCCCTAACAAAATATAAATCTATTTCCAAATGTTTGGTTCTTTGGTGCTGAACAGGGTTAGAAGCCAAGTACATGACACTGACATTGTCACAGAAAAAAAAAACAAAAACAAAAAAAACAAACAAACAGTGGCACAAATCAATGGACAAAACAACTCGAGGAGGAGATTTCGAAGCCAAGCAGCTTCAACAACGACATTGGTTACCCATACGTACTCGACTTCAACACTAGATCGAGACACAACATGTTGGAGTTTGGAAGACCACGAGACAAGGTTGTCACCGAGAAAGACAAAGAATCCATAGGTAGATCGGCGAGTTTGAGGACAGCCAACCCAGTCAGCATCAATGCAAGAGACCAAACGATCGACATTAGACGGACGAATGTGAAGACCATGCGACAAAGTACCTTAAAGATACTCAAGGATACACTTAAGGGCAAGAAAATGAGGTTCATGATATTCCCATATTTATACACATTTTTAGGCAATATTCTAATACATTGTTATTAATATTTCTGTTATTTGCAAAGATATATGATACTTATGAGATTGAATTCTAATACACTCTTGAAGAATAAAGACCAGAATTGACAAGAGTTGAAGCCTTGGAGGATGGAAGCTTAAAAGAAGAAAAATCCAACAAAAAAACTCAAATCACGACGTGGCCCTCACATCACGACGTGGAGTGAGTATTCCAGAAGATAAGTACGCGGGAAGTCAGAATCCTTGCCCGATAAGGATCTATACCCAAGTTACGACGTGAAACTCCTCTTCACGTCCTGAATCACGTATTTCCTCAAAACTATAAATTATCCTTCACTCTTACGATTTGGGAAGGCTTGGAGGGTTTTCAGAGAGATTTCTGGAGGAGAATTATTTAGAGAAACCGAATTAAAAGCATTCTAGGAAGGAGATTAATTTGAAGATCAAGAGATTGAAGAACATATTCATTACAGTGGTTTGGTACACTTTGATCATGTCAAATTTAATTGGATTTGTGTTTGTGTTTTCAGCCATGAGTAGCTGAATTTAGCTGTTTTCGTTTAGCTAGATGAAGTTTTAACTTTATGGTTTAGTTTATCAAATTATGGATTTTAATAGTTGGTTATGAGCATGTGTTTTATTTTGATTACATAGCATGTTAACATTGGATACTTTGATTGCTTGAATTCAGGTTTTTTGTAGCTTAGTAACCATTAAATTACATAAACTTGTTACCTAGTAGTTTAGTGACTATTAAATTGCTAGATCTAGGATCGACCAAATCTTAGATAAGTGATAAAAGTAACCAATTTAACTGTGTTGGAGAACATAAATTGTGGCCATAATTGTGTTTATTTAGATAAATCTTACATAGCTTATCTATATCCAGTAACTGATTATGTGTTTGCTAGTGTATGACCATACATAGTTTTACATGAATTAGTGAAAACATTAGTAAATTTGGA